AACAAAGGCTATCAGATACAATCCAAACACATTTTCGACCCATTCGTTTTTGAACATGGTTTTCACAAATCCAACACGATTCAGAAAAGTTGCAATACAGGGACATAAATTAATGACCGGGAAAAATCCCAAATTCCACATTTAATCCACATCTCTTCATAATGCTTATTAAAATTTAACACTAATCACTTATTTACACAAAGCAAAACAAGGCGACATTGAAAATAACCAAACATACAGGAAAGATATTACTGTTGAGACTGCTAATAAAATAACGAATCCGGAGCGGAACTACGAACTTCCATTAAATGCTGGTGAAAATGACACCATACTTCCAGCTAATTCCTGGACTAACCCGAAGCACATGCGTATATTACAATGTGTGCACATCCATGTCATCGGCCATCGGCCTGAGTTACTCCTACTGCACCCTTCTTATGTACATTTTGTAGTGATCACCGCCCAAGTGATTTAAACGTTTTAAATTCCCAAATATCTGCCTCGGCTCACCGGCTCCCGACACGGCGCTTAAGAACACCCCCGCGCATGCGCAGCCCGGCCCGACACAGGTCCATTTGGGCTATGGAGTCCCGGCACAATGTAATGCACATACATGTCAAAGCAGCATTCGACACGGCCGACACCCGCCCATAAGACAAGCTTATAAAGAAGCCAGTAAAGGAGCCGAATGCCTCTTACCGGGCCAGGCCACCCGTCACCAAAAGACACTGAAACCCTGGGTAGATCTTCCCCTCCTCGCATAAGCATGCTGTAGTTAACCCATAATAACTATCAACACTGCTAGTTATCAAACTAGTTAGGCGGCGCTGGAGCCACCCAGGGCGAAGCAGATTAATTTTTACCAGGCCGGGCCGGACGGGCCGCTAGGCGGTGCGACCCAAGAAGCCGACAAAAGTTTACGCATTTATTGTAAGACATGTATAAGGCAGCCTTTATGGGCCTGCTGCCCGAGGCAGCGCTGAACTCGCACGGATACCTCGCCTTCCGCCAGCTCGCTTTCGCTCTTCTCGGGCGGCCGTCCGGAGTCTCACCTATGGTGGATATGAAGGTGGTGTTGAAGGCATCGTCGGAGAAGCGGAACAGTACGCAGGTCTTGCCCACGCCCGAGTCTCCGATCAGCAGCAGCTTGAACAGCAGGTCGTACGTTTTCTTCGCCATGGAGCCTTCGGTCGCGAAGCCACAAGGAGCCGGTTCGGGGAGCAGGCGAAGACGCCGAGCTGGCGTGTGTGTGGGGGCCGACGCTGCGCGTTACGATCAGCCGGGCCGCCCTGGTGGCCAGGCGGTGCCGGGGTCCCTCTGACTGATGCGCTTTCCCGAAGTGGAGCCGGGCCTGAGGCCGTATTTCTCACCCAGCGGCGTCTCCCTTTCCCAGCTTCTCTCACGTACTGCTGGGACAAAATGGCGCCCCCCTCCTCCCTGGCCGACTTACTCCTTCACCCGGCTAGCTAGCTAGCACGCTAGTTCTGATTCCTAGCGCTGCCCGACATGCCAGCCCACGGTTTTCTGCCCGGTATCAGGAGCTACAGTTAAATTCGCGTCCTTTGAATTTAACGTAAAGACCGAGGAGACACCGCCGCCTTCGGACGGAGTTTCCCCCACCAAGGCGACTCCCTAGTTTAATGCCACGCCTAGTCCCCGCCCTAGCCTTAACTATGTAATTTTTTATTGGCTCTCCGCGATGCACATCAAAGTGACATTTGACTGTGATTCGCAAGATGATCAGCCATCACAAGTCGAGCCAAGGTTCTGTGGGCTGAATAGAAAAGGCCATATGCAACTGCGCCACAGTCTCCGCCATGTTGGTTCTAACGGAGCCTTTCGGCAGCGACAGGAGGTCGCCCGAGATTGAGCCGAAATGGCCGCTACTACAACGTCGACTGACCAGTGGCGCTCCCAAGTCCTGTTTTTTGACTGTATGACAGATACAGATTTGAGTCTGGCTCGGTGGCGTTATGTGCGCCGTGAGGCGCAGGCGCGTCCCTGATAAAGACGCCGAATTTCACGTGTTCACCATGACAAGAGGCATCTTACTTAGCGCCGAGTACCTGGAACAGGTCAGGCGGCGGGTCGTGCTTTTTACCATCGTTAAAATCTGAAAGCGTAAACCCAGAAGTGGATGTTTGAATTACATCAATTATTCCGTCAAATCAACAGGCTGATATATAAGGCAGAATAACCTTTGACCTTATAACGTCTGATTGCAAACCAGAAAATAAAATGATGTTTACTTTAATAATCTAGGTAAGCCCCGAGGAAATACGGTATGTCTGAATGATGTAACAAGATTCTTAGAGCTGTATGACAGCACAGACTGTAGCTCAAATGTCAGTTTCTTTGTTCCTCTACTGGAAGAGTCATACACCCTTACTTACTCATTTCTTCAGGATTTTAATACTTGAATGACTAACCAGTAGTTTCAGCTTTCACACTTTACAACTCTGTTGGTGTATTGAACCAATCCTAGTCACACAGCCTTTTGGTGCCTCGGTCTGGGCAACTGGAACTCAGATGTTGCCACAAACTGCCCCAACCAGGGCTGGCCCTGGGTTTACTGCTGCCCTAGGAGACTGGACCATACTGGTTAATTACCTTATATTTAAAACATTTCGGTAGCACAGAGCATATGGCTGCTAACTAGCTAGCTGCTGTTTATTTCACATGAAATATTAAAACTAGTGTAAATAACTAATATCATGGGAAGACACCAGAGGTATTCAAATTTTTTTTCACTTGCGCTTTGGTTTGGTGTCTGCTAAGCAAATGACACCCCAGGTGATCACCTATCATGCCTATAGGGTGGCCCTGGCCCGAGCTAGGCAGAACTCATGGTATCAAAGATAAAAGAAAAAACACTAACTTCTTGGAAAAGAGAAAAAAACATAAACACACTGCAGATAAAGGATGTGTTTGAATTGCGTTTGTCTGATGAAGGATGTGGTTGCATTGCGTTTGTCTGATGAAGGATGTGTTTGCATTGCGTTTCTCTGATGAAGGATGTGGTCGCATTGTGTTTGTCTGATGAAGGATGTGTTTACATTGCGTTTGATGAAGGATGTGTTTGCATTGCGTTTGTCTGATGAAGGATCTGCTTGCGTCGTGTTTGCCTTTGACACTTACATTAAAAAAATAGCTTATTAAAATATCCACCTTATACCCATCTGAAGAACAGCAGAAACATCTGGACCATCAATGGGAATTTAACAAATGTTAAATTAGATAAATTTTCTAGGAGTCACCTGTTAAAGGCCGGACCTGTTTTAAATTTAATGCCACAGTAATTAAGGATGAGTAAAATGTGGGTCATGTCATTACATCGATATCAAACTAAATAAACAAAGGTGTTATATATAGAAGGTTGTTGCAAATTAGTACCTATTTTTACCAAATGCTACAATAAGTTAAGCAGATGTATGTGAGCTACTATTAACTTATGCTACTCTCACATTTGTTATATTAAACAAAATTATGGCAACTCTGGGAAATGAAATGAGTCACTGGAATTTGTAATTAAAACTTCGATATATATTTGCTGTGTTCGTTTGGCATGGCAAATAAGCGGCAACAAACTGCACGTTTGTCTACACGTTGTCTCAAATGATGTGATGTCAAAGGTATATTTTAAGAAGAACCTTGCAGTCATAATTCTCCCTTTCTATAAATTCATATTTTCTAAATGTGTCCTGAACCATACTGGGTGGAACGAAAGTAAGCATCTCATCCTTCAATACATTTGTCTGTGAACTTGAACAGCTGTAGAAGCGATATTGCCCTCTATTGGTCAAAACACAAATAAATCCACAATAACCCAAGTATGTAATAATGCTGCAACAGAAAATCATTCTGCAGTGACACCTCACCCTGTCTTAGGGTACATCCACATTCTATAACTGATCATCCTGTTCAGGGTCCCTGGAAACCCAGAGGACACCCTGGACCAGATGCCAGTCCATCACTGGGCAGACTGACCCACACAGTGGGCAATTTAGAGAGACCTGTCCACCTAAGTTGCATGAGTTTGTACTTAAATGCTACTATTTTGTGGCTTTTCTGTTGATCTACTTTGACCAGTTTGTACTGCTGGGTACTCTGGAGTATTTCTTTTTAGGTATCTGCTGTAGATGAGCTCTTCCTGGGACCAGAACCAAAGATATATGAAGTTGTAATGAGTTGCAGTCCTTACCTGCTGTGTTGTCTCAGAGCTTAATTGGTACAGAATCAGTGTAAATCCTTTGTGAAATGCTGCAGTTTGCCTGGGATTTCACATATATCAATCAGGTGAATCATGTCAGTTATTTTACTATTGTTTGCAAATAAATATATTGCCTGATTTAGATGGGAGACAAGTTGCTGGGAAAACAATCTTAGTAAAATAAATCTGTTAAAATAGGATAGTATATAAATAGTCACGGGGGAAGAGACGTTTAGGAAGTTTCTTTAGTTAATTTCAAATAGTATTAAAATAGTTTATCTTAGTTTATTGTTGTTACATAATTAACACGATATAATTATGAATTGTGAGTCTAGTGAAACGTGATAACTTGCGCTGTCCTGTGCATCGCCGACGCCCCCAGGCGCACAGGTGTCGCGCATCGTCAGCTCGCCGCCAGAGGTCGCTGCGCTCAAAGCGACGCCGCGGAGCACTGTGATTTTGCCCCCTGCACGTAAACATCAGACATCCTCGGACAACACCCACCCTGCACTAAGAACATAGGCTTATGATCGCTAAAACTCAAAGTCATAATTCATAAATCACTCAGTCAAACGTCAACGATTAGGTGGCCGTTTATAACGACCATTGCAAATGACATTGTAACTGTTATAACATGTCACGATCTTATTAAAACAACGTCGCCTGCCCATTCATAAACATGACCGCACTGTTTTAAAATAGACACAAGCCTGCGTTACGATTGCAAGTCACATTTCATCTTTCGTGTACAGGATGCACGCATGCCGCATTAATAGCTGTGTCAGTGAAACAGCTCCGACTACAAATCCCAGGCTCATCTTGCGGCGTCCGCAGTGATACTGGGTGGGGGCTGCGGTGAGGTAATGTGCCAGTGGGTTGGGTCCAGAACGGGGGCTGACAGCGTATTCTCCTAGTACCAGCACCAGCGGGAGCGGCACAGATAGCTTGCATCCGGCTGCATGCGGCCAAGGGACCGGCCGGGTGGACCGCGGATACGGATAATAGCAGGAGGGATAAAGGAGGTGTCTGCAGGAACCGGCCGGTTAACGGTGCATTTAGATAACGGCGTGCATTTATCCAGCGCCTCCTTTTAACGCTGTCCATTGTCCATTTAAACAGCGCTGCATATTCCGACAGAGCAGTAATGATGCATATGCGGCTCGGGCTTGTCAGCGACGCCTTGCAGCCTTATATTTTATGACTTCAGTTCCCGAAATTTCCTCAATCTGAAGGAAGCTTGAATTTTATCGTTAGTGTCGAAGATGTCAAAGATTAAAAATTGCGAAACGGTCAAAGTGGTGGTGAGATGCCGCCCACTGAACCGGAGAGAGGAAGCGACCGTCAACGAGAGCATCGTGAATATGGATGTAAAATTGGGACAAGTGTCCTTACGGAACCCGAGGGCACCTACGGGGGAGCTGCTTAAAACGTTTACGTTTGATGCCGTCTACGATGCCAGCTCGAAACAAAGCGACCTGTACGACGAGACTGTCAGACCCCTCATAGACTCGGTGCTACTTGGCTTCAATGGGACTATATTCGCCTACGGTCAGACTGGTACGGGAAAAACGTACACCATGCAGGGCTTGTGGCAGGACCCGGAGAAACGAGGCGTCATCCCAAATTCCTTCGAGCACATTTTCACACATATATCTCGATCTCAGAACCAGCAGTACCTGGTCAGGGCATCATATCTGGAAATTTACCAAGAGGAAATCAGAGATCTCCTATGCAAAGATCACTCGAAAAAACTTGAGCTCAAAGAAAATCCAGAGTCAGGTGTTTACATCAAGGACCTCTCCTCTTTTGTGACCAAAAATGTCAAAGAGATCGAGCACGTCATGAATGTGGGCAACCAGACCCGGTCCATTGGATTCACCAACATGAATGAGCACAGCTCCAGGTCACACGCTATTTTCGTAATCACGGTAGAGTGCAGCGAGATGGGCCTCGACGGCGAGAACCACATCCGTGTTGGGAAGCTCAACCTGGTGGATCTGGCCGGTAGCGAGAGGCAGAGCAAGACGGGGGTGCAGGGGGAGCGACTTAAGGAGGCCACCAAGATTAACCTGTCCCTCTCCGCCCTGGGCAATGTCATCTCCGCCTTGGTGGATGGAAAGAGCACCCACATCCCCTACAGGGACTCAAAGCTCACGCGGCTGCTTCAGGACTCCTTGGGGGGCAACGCTAAGACCATCATGGTGGCCACTCTCAGCCCCGCCTCCTCAAGCTATGAGGAGACCCTGACCACACTCAGGTACGCCAACCGGGCCAAGAACATCAAGAACAAACCACGGGTCAATGAGGACCCTAAGGATGCCCTTCTCCGGGAGTTCCAGGAAGAGATAGCCAGGCTGAAGGCCCAGCTGGACAAGAAGGGCATGCTGACCAAGAAGCGAAGGCGCAACAGCCGGAGGCTGAGGAGGAGCATGGATGGGGAGGAGGCGATGGATGGGGATGGGGAAGAGGAGATCGAGACAGACAGCATGGAGAAGGACATGGAAGAGTACATGAAGGAGCAGGAGGAGAAGCTGGAGCTGGAGAAAGCTGCCATAAGGGACGACCGAAGCCTAGTCGCTGAGGAGAAGCAGCGTCTCCTGGATGAGAAGGAGAAGATGATGGCCGACCTGAGAACGGAGCAGGAAGCGACGGAAAAGCTAACAGCTAAATTCAAGGTAAGAAGACATCATGGTTTGAACCAGTTATTGTTTCTTCTGAAAGAAAGTAGTTTACCAGAAAGAAAGAATTGGAATATAAACAGTGCAGTGCACTCCACTTTCACGTGTTTGGGGGGGGGTTGGCCACAATGCATAATGTGTTATCAAAACAAAAGGGGTGGAGGCAGCAATAAATGAATCATTTATAATTCTACTGTAGTCTTAACATGTTCTCTGTTGATTTGGTTGTGCTGTTTGTTTCTGGATTGGCACACAATGTGAAAAGGAATATAGCTAAATATTAACTTTTCTACATAATAAGCAGATATGTAAGAGGAAATAAATGTGTTTCATAATTCATTGAAAAATTATAAACTTGGCTGTATGAAAGGATTTATTTTTAACAGTCTCACTAAATATATTCATTTCAGGCAAGAGATTTGTCTTTAAGGGGCAGGAACATGACAATGGGACAGAGAACTCTGTGGAATTAGTGAGTGGAGTGAAATAACAGGCCTGTCATCTTTTTCCCAGAGCTGATCTTGGATTGCAGATGTTTGCAGGTTTATTTTCATTTGATGCTATTCAGCTGAATATTCAACCGAATTTCATTTTTCCTTTTTGAGTTCAGAGAGATTAATTTTTCCTGTGTACTAGCCCAGTAGTCTTTCAAAGGTACATGGAGTATACATGTCGAGTGGACATGACGGTGGAATGATACTTGCACAAATACGAGTACAGGTACATTGGAATGTTTAATTTTCTCTCCTTTTTTAGTTTTTCTGATTATATTCACAGATCTTTGTGGGGACCTAAAAATGGTAATTTTGGAAAAGGAAAAAAGTCAGTTACTGTTACTGCCTTCTG